GTTTGACAATGTTACGCTGACACAGTTCCCTCCTCCCAGTCTCCTGCTGGCTCATGACGAAGCTATCTCCTCAGGCTTGCTTATGACCTGGAGCGCTGTTTTTCAAGAGCTGGGGTCAAGCCCTTTTCTGGGGAAGCCAGTGAGTCCCCCTTCTTGAGAGGACCAGAGGTCTCCCTGCCCGAGGCTTCAGCCGCTGCCTTCCATGCAGACCCGGGTGCCCGGACGGGTACAGGCTGGCCCGCTGTCCATCAGGTCCTGACCCATGGACTCCATGGGTATGATAAGCACCACTTTTATGGCACTGCATTTTGTGGTAATTGGTGGAGCAGCTACAGAACTAGAACAGTTCCCAAGCAGCAGCCAGGGCTTTTCATACCTTTTGGTACCTTTGGGCTTCTCAGCCACATTTGCCTCCACAGTCAGGAACCTCCAGAGCACTGTCACATTATTCTCCCTCCCAGCACTGACATCTCCTCTCTTCCTAGATCTGGTTATTCCCATCGTCCTGCCATTCAGGCTTGAAACCTCAGAGGTTCAGACTCTTCCACTCAGAGGTAACCAAGCACACTGTTGTTTTTTCATAGTCCCTCGTTTCTTATTTTTCTGCAGAATTAGGGGTTGAACCCAGGACCTTCACGTTGAGCTCTACCCTCAGTCCTTTCTATCTTATATTTTCATTTAGACAAGGTCTTGCTGCATTGCCCAGGCTTGGCTTGTGCCTCTTGTTTTTTTTTTTTCTTCCATCCTAATTAGATGTGCATGAGGTTGCAGTGTTCACTATAACCCCCAGGAAGACACTGCTGGTCATAGGCAGGGAGCCTACAGGTGTCACACTAGTAAGAGGGTCGTGTTGTGCATGTCTGTAATCTCGGGAGTCAGGAGGCTGAGGCTGTTCTTGAACGCAAGGCAAGCTTCAGTTATACAGTTGAGACCCTGTCTCAAAACAAAAGTTAAAAATTGTAAAAAAAAGGTAGTGTTTAAAGCCTTTCAGGGGCAAGTAATGATACCATTTACAGTTGTAATACGGCAGTCCGGCATCTCTTGAGAAAGCTCTCCTACTAGGATGACACAAAAGCAAGCCGCCATTGGCCTGGAGTGCTTGTAGTCACGGAATCCACTTTGATCCTGGATTTAATCAGAGCCTTCCCTTGAGCTCCTCTTCTCTCCCTGGCTACAAATCTAAATTTGGTTTGCATCAGCCTAGAGGCATTAGATGTTATTCCAGTATTGGCTGGCAAGTAAATCCCTCACTCTGCTCTCCAGGAATATCCATTAAGCACATCGTGCCTTTGCCTTAATCCCTTCCCACACAGCATTTGCGGAGGGAGTCTTGTGGTGGAGTTAGATGTGGAGCACTAAGTGCGACCTTCAGGGCTGGCTCAGCTACTTGTCCTACAGACATGAACTACATCCCGATTTCCTCAGCTAAGGACCCAGCTGGCCTCAGTGCATGGTTTGGAAGCCACAGGAGAGGAAATCAGGTACTGACAGTTTGTGTAAGGATACCTCAGGCCCTATTGAAAAAGTGGCCATTTCCCAGGAACTGCTTGCTGGGATCATAAAATAAAAACACTTTTTTCCAGAGCTTCCGCCTGGAGGCGCTGCAAACTGTTTGCTTAGACAAACAGAAAGACATTGGTATCCTCCTAATATCTGTAATCTCTGAAATGTGAACATTGGTTCCTGGATGCCTTGAATACTGAGCTGCTCAGACCAGGCTGCAGGCACCCCTAGAAGTACAGGCTGAGCATCTAACAATGAATTCTGTTCTGTTCCAGTGCTGGGTAAAAGACAGGTGGAAAGTCTTGCCTCCTGGAATTTTCATTTTGGGGCTGGAGAGTCAGAAAACAGCACAGCATGTTAAGGGTTATGATGTTAGAATTGTAACTAATCAAAGAGGGCTCAGGGGCCCGAGAGTAACATTCAAGTAAGTGAAGAAGATGAGGATTTAAGATTTGGAGGGAGGCTGTCCATGGGGATTGGAGGAAAACATGGAGAGCCTGAAGCAGAGCAAGAAGGGGGGTCCAGGTGGGTCTCGTGGAGCTGTCAGGGAGCCTGGGAGTTGAGTGATTCATGTGCTCAGTCAGCCCTGGGGAAGCCATGGGAAGGGTTCTAGCAGAGAAGTGATGGTGGTTTTGACAGCTCATGAGGACAGGCTGCAAGCAGAGAACAACCTGTGCGGCTTGTAGAAGTCCAGAGATAGAGGCAGCACAGACCGACCAGGTGAGGAGGGCAGCAGGCAGTGGAAAATGGAGCACACAGGGTTTGCCGACAGACTTGGGCTGTGAGAGAAAGAGTAAAGGAAAAGCAGTCTGGGTGAGTGCATGAAAGATGCACGTCCCTAACAGACAGGAAGACGAAGGATGAGTTCACAGGCAAAGGTCAGCGTGCTGCCTCCCGAGGCCTTCTGTAGAGCTAGAGTGCACAGCCTGGCCCTGGGCTGGGGGGCCTGGGCTGGAGAACTCATGGCAGCACGGGCCGCAGGTGCAGCTCAGGCACTAGGTGAGGGCACCAGGAGGGCAAGTGTAGAAAGGAAGAGTGCCAGCTGCCGAGCGCCGAGGTGCTCCAGAGTTGGAATCTCAGAAGATCCAGGTTGGGAAGGAGGAAGGACACTGGGGCAGGAAGCACATTCAAAGGGCAAGGTGTTCCAGGAGGCGTGAGGAGAAAATGCTTCCAGCAGAGAGGTGGGTGAGAACTGCAGATGGAAGCGCTGGGTGGAGAGGAAGGAAGGAAGGAAGGAAGGAAAGAAATCCAATTTGGTTAGTTTAATCTTGGCACAGTAAAACCCAGCCTCTCCTGACACAAATAAATACTGCTGGTCCAGGTTCCGTGTATAACAAGTAAGATCACAAATTTCAGGAAATGAAAGTCTTTTCTAAACAAAGGATAAAGAAAATCAAACAAGTGCACCTCTGTCAGTTTTTTATTAAATGAAAAACTATTAAAACTTTAAAATATTTTTTAAAAAACTTTAAAATATTAACATTAGTTTTCAAATATTTCTCCCTAGCCATTAGAACATCTCTTCTTCAGGAGACTAGCCTGGAGACCTCCAGAAACATGGCTTAGCATCGCAAACTTTGGCCTCCTGGTCAGGCAGGAGCACACACCCCAGTGCAGGTTCCCTGGCCCTGGCCTCCCATGTGGATGTTTTCAGCTCCAAGCTGAGCTGAGTATTTAGATGCATGCCATGGTGCACACATCTGTTTGGTCCTGGTCCCTACTTCCTGATCTTCTAAGACCCTTAGAGTGTACTGAGCATAGCAGTGGCTCTGTACCCTTGGAATCCTACCAGGATGCAATGTGGGAACTCAGGTGGGCACCCAGAGCCTCGGGTGTGACCGTCCACAGCCCCAACACTCAGAGCTCCGGCCCACCCACCTCAGGCATCTGGACAGGGCAATCTGCAACACAAACATGGGACATGGAGGTTGGGAGAACTTCCCAGTGATACACACTCAGAGGGGACAAGAAGTTGGGGTGTCTTCGTTTTGGCTGTTCCTGAGTTACAGCCTTTATAGTAGGCCAGCAAATTGTAAGTATTTTTTTGAGTTCCTGCAAGTCTGTTACTAGCAAACTTGTAACCAGGTGGACAGAAGTAAGGGCAACCAGTGGACCCCAAACTTGTTTTTATTTTTATTTTTTTGGTGAAACCAGGGATTGAACTCAGGCTCTTACGCTTGCCAGAGAAGTGCTTATTCCACTGAGCCATCTTCCCAGCCCCCCAAACTTGTGATTGGCATGGGAACGATGCTTTTGTGTGACTGAAACCTCTGGAGTTTGATGGAGAACTAGGGTAGGCAGAGAACACCATGTGGTGGCTTGGGAGACGCTGCCCAACCCCTTGCCTCACACGTGCTTTAGGATCAGAAAACAAACAGTTGGTTTAAGAGACTAGGAAACCGGAATTCTGCATAAAACTTTTATTTAGTGGCCAGATCCCAATGGATAATGGTAGCCGTTGCTCGATGCTGCTGACAGGTGCTACTTGGTTGACTCTTAAGAAGTATACAAGTACATCACCAAAGCGGCTTAATTTTGATTGTGTAAAATAAAACTCCTTACATCTTTGTTCTTTAATAAACTTTTTAAAATACAAAAATGAAAAAAACCCAAAAGCAGTATTCAAAGCTAATAAACATCACCTTGGACTATTTACAGTAAGATGCCTCTTTACTAGGCGAATATCCTATGTCTTTTCTCGTTCACTTACTCCTTACAGGTAAGTGCCGACCCTTTTTCCACACTTCTTGTCCTGTCTCTCGTGAAGCAGCTTCTGTTGGCTTGCTCACCTTTCAGTTTCTTGGATTCTTTTGTCCACACTCAGAAATAATCATTAATTCCCAACGACATGTATTGAGCACCTAGAATGTGCCAGGCACTGTGCTAGGGAGAAGTGAGGGTGAGGACGCATCAACGCCCTCCAGAAGTGCAGGCTCTGGGGTGAGTTTAAAAGCCAGTGTTTTTCACATTACGGTCCATGCAGTCCCAGGCCCCTACGAAGCACATTTAGGGACTTCTCAGAACAGCGCGTTTGGCGGCGGGGGTCCTGTCACTTGGTCTCTGGCTCTGTGATGCACAGCCCACCACACTCAACCCTACTGCTGCAGTTCTGAACTCTGGGGACCACCTTGGACGAGTTGTGCCAGTGTGATTTGTGGAGAAGGTAATCATTTAATTTGTAAATTCCAAGTGTGAAAAACCCTTATTCTTAACACTTATCAGATTGAAGCAATTGCTGTATGTTAAGAAAGTCTCCCCGGATTTCACTTGGAGCAAGATGCTCCACAACGTGCATGCCTACATGGGTGTGTGTGTGTGTGTGGTGCTGGGGCGGAACCCAGGCCTCACCGCCACGCAAACAGCAGCACCCCCAGCCCTAAATTCCTCTCTGTGTGTAGTATCCAGCAGGAGCTTTTTCTCTATCCCCACAGGTTCTGATTGCTTCCTATTTCTCTGTGAATATTTTCTTAGCATCAAACATCAAACCTGCAGGAAACTTTTTTTTTTCTATTTTCATGTTTTAATCAAAACAAGCTCAGTTCTTGCCTTTGGTCTCCTGTCTTTATCCATGAAATCTGGACACTCATGAGTTACTTTTGTTATTTTTTTTTTTTTTAAAAAGGTAAACCATGAACTATAAAACAAAAACTGTACATGACTTACTGTGGAAACAAAATTAAACCCCTCTCCGCGCCAGGTCCCGCAGACCACGTCCCTGTGAATGTTCACATCTGTGGGTGTTTCTCAGGTACTGTGGCTCAGGGCCCATCACGGCTGCACCTTCCCTTGAACACAGTCGCAGACCCCTTTCACTGGGGCCACACAGCCAACTGCGGGGTGATGGTGAAGACAGTGTTCCTGGGGAAGTTCTGTCCGTGCTTTCTTTCGGGCTATTCAGGGTCACCTGTCCACCCAGTGTCCATCCAGGCAAATGACACCGATTATCCACTCCAGGAGGGTCACAACTTTCTCATGTATTTGTTCCAAGCCCTCGGGACCTGAAGGCAACTTAGGGAGTGGGCATCAGCCCCTGTCACATCTGGCCCACCTTCTCCAAGGGAGGGAGGTCACATGAGACACAGAACGCAGAAGAGCACAGTGTCCTGGGATGGGCAGGAGACAGAGGTGACCATGCACAAGCTTCTGGCTCTGGTGTGCATAATTTTTCAGTGTAACAGCATGTACTTTGACACACAAGGGCTTGTGCTTTTCATTAAAGAAACAACTTGCCCTACAAAGCTTGTTTGGCAAACAAAGCCATGAACGTGTGTGTGTGTGTGCGTGTGTGTGTGTGTGTGTGTGGAGTGTGTCGTGAAGCGAGGTGTCACTTTCTGTCAGCGTGCCCTCCTGCCCCTCCCCTGCCACCACACCAATCTCACCAGCAAGGACAGACTGACGGGCTACACCTGGTCGGTCTGATACTCAGAGGCTTCGGACAGACTTTCGGAGAAGCTTAGGAAATTCTCCTGGTACTCGGAACACACGATCTCATAGCGGTAGTGGCGGAACTCCACAGCGAAGGTGCCAAAGTACGACAGGAAGCACATGACCAGGCCCCACTGCACCCGGGCTGCGTACATGTGGATGTCCTGGGCCATGAGGATGAAGTCTGGGGAGAGGCCGTTAAGGAAGGGACACAGGCAGTCCGCTGTCGCCCTCACTAGCTAAGGGCCCTTCGCAGTACTGGCTGGGCACTGGCAAGTCCTGCAAATGACACCAGATGGTGATACTGAGCTCTCGGTGCCAGCACTGCTCCTTGGAACTTTCAGGAATCATCCGAATCTTCCCTGCAATCCTTTTCTCATTTGTTGCGTAAAAATAGCAAAACCCACGCCAAGGGGGTACCTTGTCTGCAGTCACTCATGCAGGTAGCAACTGGCAGAGCGGGGTTTGCCCAAGCACGCTGACTCCTGGCCAGGCCTTGTGTTCAGCCTGTGTTCTGACACCGCAGCAGCCTGGCTAGCGAGATGCCAGCTCCAGAACAACTAGGGGCCAGCACCTGAACCAGCTCTCGCTGCAGATGACCACAGAGTCACAGCCACACACACACACACACACACACACACACACGGTTTTTTGTTCTTTTTGTGGTACCATGGATTGAATTCAGGACCTTGCACATGCCAGTCAGGCGCTTATGCCACTGAGCTGTCTCCCTGGCCCAAGATTCATAGTTATAGCTGCAGAAAATATACTGGGCACATGAAACTGCTAACTACCTCCATATGAGCTGTACTTGGCAGCAGGGCTACAAGTAGTGTCTACTTCTCTTCTAATTTTCTAGAGTTTTTTTTTTTTTGTCCCAGCAACAAACATTTAGGTTTGTTTCATTTCTGCTATCACACTCACACTTGAGCCCAAATACAAATGTGCGATTAAAATGACAATAAAGCAACAATAGAATCCTTTTTTTTTTTTTTTTTTTCAGTACCAGGAATTGAACTCAGGACTCTGCACTTGCTGGCAAGTGCTAATTCTGCTGAGCTATCTCCCCAGCCCTACAGTCCTATTCTGGAGTGTGTGTGAACATGTACACATAGTGGTAGCATGGAGGAAAGAGACTGGGAAATGGAGCGAAGTTCATAGCATGTTTTAGGTTTTTTTTTTTTTTTTTTTTTTTTTTTTTTTTTTGAGATGGGGTCTCCCTGTGTAGTTCAGGCTGGCCTCTGACTCAACTGTGTAGCATAGTCTGGCTTTGAACTTGCAGTGATCCTCCTGCCCTAGTCTTCTGAGTGTTAGAATTACAGGCTTGTGCACCATGCCTGGACCATAGTGAAAGGCCAAAGGACTGAGTACTAAATACGTTTAGAATTAATTCAGTGTAGGGCTGGCAAGATAGCTCAGTAGACTAAGTGCCTGCTTAGGCAAGCGCAGGGACCTGGGTTCGATCCCTGGCACCACATAGCACACCGGCCCTGAGCCGCAGGCATGCTGAGCTGGCCACTGAGACCAGGTGTGGTGGCACACACCTGTAATCCCAGCGCTGGGGAGGCTCAAAACAGAAGGATCACTGTGAGTCAGAGCTACATAGTAAGACCCTCTACCAAATACACTAAGAGAAAAAAGAAAAAGCATTAATTCAGTCTGTAGAATTTAGACCTAAAATCTTTCGAGTTGTGTGTGTGTGTGTGTGTGTGTGTGTGTGTGTGTGTGTGTGTCAGGGTCCCACGGTATAGTCCATGCTGCCCTTGAACTCATGGCAATCCTCCTGCCTCAGTCTCTGGAGTGTTGGGGTTATAGGCGTGAGTCACCAGGACTGGCCATGTGGGAAGTTGTTTAGAGAGGTTTAACTACTTGTGTCAAACTTTGCTCTTTCGGGGGTGTGGTGAGGAGACTGGGAACCGAATTCAGGATCTCATGCTTGCCAAGCAGGCAAACTACTCTTTTGAGCAGATCTGAATCCATTTACTCCAGTACCGTGAAATGGTTCTGAGTGTTCAGCAGCCATGGGAATCAGAATTGTTCTATGTAATTTCAACACTGGGACTAAAGGAAAGTCTCTGTGTGTACTGTGCTGCCAAAGCAGTGCTGGCTTACTACTTAAGTTTATGAAGAAGGGATAAATCTTCTATCTCATCCTGGCAGGTTCAACTTTTCCCATCAGAAAGTACTTTAACAATTCCTAGGAAGAGACGAATTTTCTGGCATAAATTTTAAGTCCTTAAATGTTCTCTATAACGTGACTGCACAACTTTAGGAAAACAGTAAAACCATCAAATAACAGGGAAGAAGAAATAAAAGACCTCAAACATCCCACTAATGAAAAGAGCTAAGTGTTTTTGTATTTCGAGGCCATTGTCTCAGGGACCAGCACAGCGGCCCAGTGCCAGAGCTGAGCCTGAATTCCCATTATACACTGTCTGATCCTTGGCAAATGTAACATGTGTGTGAGTCCATATTGCTACAAGTTAGGTGAGGGGTAAAAGAGCTGGTACATTGAAAGCACTTGGAAATAATGCCCGAGCAGTTAAATATTGATGGCTACAGCGCTTAAATACATGAGCCTTGTGTGGTGCTGTGCAGCTGTAATCCCAGCTAAGTGGGGAGGCTGAGGCAGGAGAATCCCAAGCTTGAGGCCAGCCTCGGCCACATAGCACGGCCAGCTGGCACTACACCCCGAGACCCACTGGGGAGCACACATGCCCAGCCTTTCAGGGACCTGCCCCCTCTGGCTGCTCTGCTGTGGCTGGGTCAGGTCACTTCCAGGGTGAGGTCTGCGGCGCTCTTTCCAAGTTTATGCTGAGTGGGGGTTAGTTTCTTTATCCCCATCTGGCTCCTTGTGTCTGTTCTCAACTGATTTCAAACTTTAAGTGGAGGAAAGAAAATGGTCATAGTCCCAAATCTCCAGTATGTGTTTCAGAAAACTATATGCTGCAATAAATCAGTTCTTCCTTTGGTTTTCCAGGAAAACTTATTTTCCTGAACAATATAAACATCTTTGTGCCCTGAAATTCATTTTAGAGGTCAAAAAAATTCAATGACATAACAGGACTTAATAAAATCACAAACTTTGTCTTAAGATTCGGAGCCGATCTGACTGTTCTCTTAACCCACTGAGAATGGCAACTGTCTCGTCTTCCCCGGACAGCTCCTCTCCCCAGAGAAGAATCTTTCCTGGTAAAGGATACAGAGGACGACACAGAGAGTGATCAGTGCAGACAGAATCACCCGTGGGATTCCAGCTTTCCGTCCTTCGTTCTTAATGTTGACTTTGAGTGTCAGGGCAGCCTGGATCCAGCAGGTCAGTGTGCCAAATCCAAAGGTCAAGGACGTTCCCACGTTGTGGATTTCTTCATCATTCGCGAGCTAGGGATGAATAGAAAATGGCTTTGGAAACCCAGAAAAATCGAAGACCCGCAAGCCAGTAGGATATGTGAGGGGAGAGCTCGGCCACGGGATGACAACTTGGAAAGATCAGAGTCCTCCAACCGCCTCCCATGGCCAAAGCCTGGCCAGCAGTGGTGGTCTAGCCCTTGAGTTTGTTTCCCAGAAAAGCTCTTTGGAAAAGGAAAAGAAAAGCAACCCAGGCATTGCACAAGCAGGGAAATGTCGAAGTTGCCACAAGCACATGTCCCACGTCCCACGCTTTGTTTTCCAGGCTAAGAAAATGAGAGCAGAGATTTGGCCATGTGTCCCTGACAGATGGCCAGCTCCGGGCAGGTCCAGATTCGACTGTCACAGACAGCGAATACCCCTCGGGCTGTTCTTACTCCTACAAAACTGGCTCAGGACTAACTCCTTGCCAGTGGGAATTCTTGGGTTTTGTTTTCCTATAAGCATGACAGAAACCACCTCCTGAGCTTTGGCCACACCTAGAGAGACCCACTGAAGGACAGGCCTCCAGGCTTCTGGAGCATTGCCTGGCTACATGAGGCCCATTTAGGTTACTGCATTGGGGTGGAGTGACGTAAAATCCCTCATCATTACTCCTATTTTAAAAACATGTCACTTAAAATTCCTTTGACACATATATTTTAATTCACATAGAGGAAAAAATAAAACTATTGTTAGAGATACTTATTAAGCCAGGGTAAAAATACTGATTTAAAGATGCTTTGTGGTTTGATACTGTTGCATAATTATGGCATCAAACCAGTAGACTTTGGCTTGATAGTTTTTTCCCACAGTTTTTGGTTCTAGGTGTCATCTCTACCCTTAACCTCCATTTTTTTGGGGAAGAAACTACCTTTTCACCTCATAATTTAGAAGAGAAGTTTTCAAAATGTATTTAAAATAATGATTCCTCAAATTAAATTTTACTTCTAGAAAGCTGGTTTTTCCATGGTATACACAATTTATTTTATTCATTATCTTTATAACATAGTTTAAAAAATAGTAATACAGCTCCATGGCTCACACTTTACCCAACTATGAAGGGCACTGACTAGAAAACCCGTCTCTTCGGTCGTACACCTGTCCCCTAGGCTCTCCACAGGCAGGCGATGCATGTTTTTGCTTCATTCTCCCTATTCTGGCAAGTGTCCTACTGTGGGGTCAGCAATTATGATCTGAATATCGGTGTTTCAACCCAGTCTCTGGGATTCCCCCAAGGCTTTAGTTTTTTTTACGGTTTTGATAGGAAGTGACCCTCAGGGACTTGGGCAAAGGGTGTGGTCCTCAGTATTCAGAGGTGGCACCTGAACAAGTGACTGTATTATGAGGACTTTAGAGATCCTGATGTGATATATGACTGGGAGGCAAGAGGTGAGGCCAGTGGAAGGGAGAGCACTGGTGTGGAGGCTGCCTGTGACCCCTGGCCCCTCCTCCCGTCTCTCTGCCTTTCTCTCCTCCCTGAGCAGCTCATCATCACCACTCTCTTCTGCTGTGGTGTTTCCGCCATGGAGCCAGGTGATCAAGGACTGGAACTGTGAATGACAATAAACCTTTCCTGTGGCCCAGGGATGTAGCTCAGCAGCTTGGTGCCTGCCTGGCAAGTGCAAGGCTCTGAGTTTGGCTCCTGGTACTAAAAAAGAAAATAGTAAAGAAACAAGACCCCAAGAAAATGCACCTTAAACCTGTCCTCTGTTTTTTTTTTCCAGGTGGTACATCACAGCAACAGAAAGCTGACTGGCACTATTAGTATAGAAGCAAATGTGTACCCAACACTCCTCACAGCTCCAGTGGGCAGAGTGGCGGGACTGGGCACATCCCAGCAGCTGCCCTGCACCAGGGAGGCATCAAGGGGGTCCGTGTAGGTGGCAATGAAGATGAGCCATGTTCCTGCATCTTAATGGGATAAACTCCCACCACCCTAGCTTTATTCTGAAGAATAAAGCTTCCTGGGGTCCAGCTTCATACACAGTGGTATTTGGAGTACTTAGTGGGACTTGTGGGATTGTCAAGTTATCAAGAAAAACAATCTCTTATTTGGTTACTACTACGTGCCTAGGGGAAGACTTGGGGGTCTCAATGATGAGTCAGCAGGATGAATGATTAGACCAGACGGTCTAGGGAAACTCATGACCACACTGTCAGTGAGAACGTTATGGAAAACATCCACCTGAATGCTGTATGTGTGCACGTGGGTTGTGTGCATGTGTACTGTACTGGGGACTGAACCCAGAGCCTTCACACTGAGCTACATCACCAGCCCTTTTTGAGAGAGGATCTCACTCAGTCACTAAGTTGCCCAAGGTTGGATTGAACTTGGGGCCCTCCTGCCTCAGCCTTCCAGAGTGCTGGGATTACAGATATGCAACACCTGAGTGGTTTAGAATGCTAGAAGTCTTGAATATCTAGGCCATCTGGAGTTTATTTAACAGATAGGGAGCAAGGTCAGGATCAGTGTTTGCTTACAAGGAGAAAGCTATCAGCACAAGTATACATGGTGTGACTGAAAAGTAGGCTGGGTGTTTAAATTTTTAAAAGTGTATTGCAGTAAAGATGCATGGCCATTAATCCCCCTCTCAAAATAGTTCCCCTCGCTTCAAATATAACTTATCCCATCATTCTTGCCACTTTCTGAAGCAGTTCTAGAAGGCTTCTTTCTTTTTTTCTTTGGTCCCAGGAATCAAACGCATGACCTCATGCTTGCCAGGCTGGTGCTGGGCCACTGAGCTACATCCCCAGCTGAAGTGTTCTTTCATAGGCGTCTAGCTGTGCTGCCATGGCTGCTTCAATGTTGTGCATCAATTCAAAGTGTTTCCCTCTCAGGGCCATTTTGATTTCGGGGAAGAGCCAGAAGTGGCACGGGACCAGGTCGGGTGAGCAAGGTGGGGCAGCCCAGACTGCCATGTTTTTATGAAGCTGCCTTTCTGCTAGATGACATGTGGCAGCTGCATTAGCCATAGTTTTATTTTATTTATTTATTGACTTTTAATATTTTATTTACTTTTAATGTACTTGGTACAGGGTCTTAGTATGCAGCTGGGACTCATAGAGATCCTCCTGGTTTTCAGCTTCCCCAGCGCTGGGATTATAGGCGTGTGCCACCACGTCTGGTCTTGGTGGCCCACTCAGTGAGCACCGGAGTGGGGCCGGAGTGGCATGTGGTGCCACGGATCGAACTCTGGTCCCTGCGCTTGCCTGGGCAGGCGCTTAGTCCACTGAGCCTTCTCACTGACCCTAGCCATGGTTTTGATTGTACCTTGTTAAGCACTCACATGAGGACTTCCTGAACTGCTTTAGAAAGTAGCCAGAACAATGGGTAAGTGTATTCAAAGAAGGGTATTTTAAGGAGATTAATGACAATGTGCTTTTTAAAAAAATTACTATATTTTTAAATTTCAGCTCTCACTGTATATTTCAAATACCCCTTACATGTGACATAGGCTGGAGGATCATAAAGGAAGTCACCAGGACAAAAGTAGGGCAATGACACTGGCAAGGGATATTATCCTTATAGGTTGTGGCCCTGGCATTCTAAATTCTAGGAAGCAGACACCTTACATGAGTTACGTGTATTCTGGACTTTCGGACTTGACTTCCCCAAGAGTATGCTGATCTGAAATCCGAGCTTTCTTAAGTCAGGATGCTTGGTGTTTAATTATAATAGGGCAAGATCCTATTCCTTTCTAGAAGGGTACATTAGGGCAATTTTGTTACCAAGAGCAACGTAACCCTCTGTGAGATCCTTTGGAGAGGACAGAGGGCTTTTCTAGCAGCTGCTTTTCCCAACATCGGCCAACCCCAGAGTGTGCGCCGTCAGCGTGCTCCCTGGTACGCTGGGCTCCCAGGGGACCCTGGGCCGACTAAGAACCAAAGTTCCTCACTGCTTTTCAGGTTCATGCGGAAGTGAATGGGCTACCTAGAGTCCACTGCAGTGGCTGTAATCATATGAGCAAAGGTCTCACCAGTGTGGAAGGGAAGTGAAACAGGTTGAGTGAAGTACCTGAAAATTACCGAGTAAGGTCATTCCAAAGGAGGCCAGGCACAGCGCCACCAAGCCGCTAACGTTCAGCCATGGGTTCAGAACTTTTGGTTTCAGTTGTATGAAGCGCAGAACAGCCACTACCAGAGCTAGGAACAAAGCAAAGACCTTAAAATTACAAAATTTAAACCAGACACCCAGACTGCAAGGCAGTTCTAAAGCCACAATGCAAAAAAATTAAACGTCTGGCCACAGCACAGCCCACGTCTCTGACATGATAGTTTGTCACAGAAACGTTCCATGTGGTGTGCAGGAGTATTTAGGTGTTGGAGCCCCCAGTGCCGGGGAGCACAGAGCAATCTCCCACAGCAGTGCTGTGTGGCCCCCTGGGGACAGAGCAGCTCTGAGACAGTGCAGGGACATGAAAAACAGTGGAACAGAGGAAGAGCAGCAATTCGAGTCCATGAACTCAGTCCCTTTTTATCTCAGGACGGGGCAGAAAGACAGGCACAGAGGGCTGTGCCTGGGATGGGACAGAAGAGGAGGAATACCGAGAGCCCTTCAGATGGGCCTGACTCCCTGTGCCCTCGGTTCTCTAAGGGGTGCTCAACAAGGACTGGGACAAACTGAATTAGAGCAGATAGAGTGGCCACAGTTACATGATCTGTGTTTTAACCCAGCACACTTGGGGGTGGAGGTGCTAAGTGATAAATATCATACTTCTATATCAAGAAATTCTTTCAAATGATAATTATTCATTTGAGTTTTTAAAATTTATTTTTGTGGCACTGAAGATTGAAGCCAGGGGCTCTGTAATGAGTTACAGCCTCAGTGCTTTTTATCAGTAGACAGGGATTCATTAAGTCCCTAAATTGCCCAGGCTGGGCTTCACTTTGTGATCCTCCAGCCTCAGCTTCCTCTAGGGCTGGGATCACATGCATGCACCACCATATCCAGCTCTAATTACTTGTCTTATAAGGCTGCTCTAGCTTTTGAAGCAAATTAGTATCTGAGAATTTGAAGAAAGATAGGGGAAGTCACTTAGCTTTCAAACCTGGCTTCTAATAGTAACAGTCCACACTCAAGCCACTAATCTAAGAACTATCTTTTATTAAGATCTTAGTAAAGAAATATTTTCATATTTATACCATAAGCTGAGAGCCAGTAAAGAAATGATGAAACACCATTTGCAACCAATATAAACTGTACCTACAGCTAAGGAAACGCAGGTACTACTTCCTAAGACGATTAACTTTGACATTAAGGTTCAGCAGGGAATTAGAAATTCAAGATTTACCTTATTTACATAGCAATTAAGTTAATTATACCATTTTTAAATTGGTTGTTATTCACTAATGGCTTCACTTTGATTACAGGCCTTTATCCATAGTCATTAATTTAAAAAAACTATCCATAGATTTGCATATCCCAAGTATGCTGAGTTTCACAGCCTCAAACTATAAATTAACCACTGTGAGTCTGTGTTCAGTTCCAAGATCCTCTGAACAACAAATGATGTAATAATTGATTCATATTTGAATTTTGGAACCAAACTACAAATAAACCATGATTTGGGAAATCTCAATTATCCAGCCCTGATACAGCTCTTGGCGTATTTCAGCCAGCGCCCACTACTGGTCAGAAAATGAGTCAGTTATGTTTGAGTTGACAACAGTCTCTCAAACAGCGGGCTTGAGCATCCTCACTAGGAGTTATATCAGAAGTCTATTCATGAATATGGCTGTCCTAGAGAATGCAAAGGGTCTTATTAAACATTAGGATGCACGGGGCATGGTGGCACACATCTGTAATCCCAGCAGCTGGGAGGCTGAGACAGGAGGATTGCTGCAAGTTTGAGGCCAGGCTGAGTTACATAGTGAGCTCAAGGCCAACCTAAACTATCAGTAAGACCCTGTCTTGAAATAAAAAAGATTCCCACATAGGAGGTGGAGATGGGGAGAGGAATAACTCAGCATCTGCACTGACACCAAGCGGTCACCTGCCAAAGGAGCCATGAGATGAAGACCAGGGAGCTGGACTTGCTAGTGAGCGCTGGGTGGCACTTAGGGAAAAGTGACCAAATATCCGAGGGGCACATTGCATTGCTTTATGAATGACTGGGGAAGAGTGCTCCTGGGAACTCTGCTGGCCATTTTTTTTTTTTTTTTAACTGGGAATGGAACTCAGGATCTTGCACTTGCTCAGGCAGGTGCTTTGTGCCACTGAGCTATATCCCCAGCCCTGGCTATTTATTTTTGTTTGTTCACTTTTGAGACAGGGTCTCACTAGAAGCCCAGGCTGGCCTTGAATTCACAGAGATTTTCCTGTCTCAGTCTCCCAAACGCTGGGAATACAGGCATGCGCCACCATGCCTGGCTGGCCATTTAATTTTATGGGACAGGATCATGTTGGAAACTTGGTCCATGCCCTAATGCCCACCCTTAACATGGCTCCTCACACACACCACCCACCTTTATGCACAAGGGAAAAGAGGTGATGGTCATTTTCTGTGCCTGCCATTTCTGACCAGTCAACATGGGTCATGTATCACATCTTGGTCCCAAATATGGGTGATATGGTTTAGAATGTCCTCCAAAAGCTTCATGTGTGCCCCCACAAGACATCTCTGCAGACTAAGTACCTGCTTAAGCAAGTGCAGGGACCAGGGTTTGATCCCTGGCACCACATGCCACGCTGGTCCCAACCCTAGGTGCACTGAACTAGCCACAGAGACCAGGCGTGTTGACACATGCCTGTAATCCTAGCACTGGGGAGGCTGAAAACAGGAGGATCACTATGAGTCTGAGCTGCGTAAGGAGACCCTGTACCAAACACACACACACACACACACACACACACACACACACACAACTTCATGTGCTTGGAAGGTGTGGTACTATGCTTACCCATGGATCTATTGATGAATCTATAGCTAAATGTGAGGTTGGGAGGTGGGTCCCAGGGCAGGGCTGTCGCTCCTAGCTGCTCCCTCTTGTCCCTTCCTGGCAGCCATGGCTTGAGCAACTTTCCTTTACCCAGGCTGTTCAACCGTGCTGCTTCTGCCTTGGAGCCACTGACCATGGACTGAAACTGTAAGCCACCCCAAAACCTCTCCTAAGTTGTGGGTGCTGAGTACTGTGTCTCAGTGACAAGCCAGTGACAAAGAGAATGGGTGACACATCACTTTATCATGAGCAGGAGGTGGAATTACACAGGAAGCAGGTATCTATCCAAGGACTCTAATTCATCCCGGCACTCCTGACTTCCAGAATCACATTCCAGACACCATACTTGGTCCTACTTAACTCTATTGTTACTAGCTGTTATGGAGCAACACTTTCTTTTATAATGAATATAGTTAGCAGCACGGTAGGACTGAAGAAGACTCAGGTCTTCTTCAATATTGTAGTTAACACTACAATAGTTTTATTGGCTCTTAGGTTTGAGTGGAGGCAGATTTAGGCTCTATGTTATGGGCCCCACATGCAACCAAGCAGTGGCTGATTTACACCTTCCTGAACAACTCCTGGGCAATGGGGAAGTTTGGAAAGTATCTATGTGCTGACTGGCTTTTACCACGTTCACTTTCTGATCAATGCATAGACTTTATAATTCCACTAAAAATTTTTAGATTTTATCAATAGCTGGCTTTAGAAAAGGTTTTAAAAACCTACCCTTCTGCTATTTTTGCTATGTATTATAGTCCTTTGCTATACAATTATCCCCTGTTTAATTTTCCTAGTTTTAAAGAGAACAGGTAGGAAAATTGCTGTTTTTTTTTTTTTTTTAGATTAAACATTGTTTTTGAGGCTGATTGCGTTTTTAAAGTTCAAGACTCAGCCTCACATGTATGTCTTTACTGCAGATCTAAACTGGTACCTGGCCAAATTCTTCTTTGTTCAGTTTTACTGTTTCTGCATCGCTAATTCCTATTTACAACTGCAGTACAACGCTCCAGTCAATAGATTTTGGCTGATGGAGGGAGGGCGGCTGCTATTAGGTGACTAAAGTCATTCAGCTATTAGCTTTATCCTCACAAGCTCCCCAGGGCAGGAAATACTCCTTTCAAGGAATCTGTCTGCGGGCCTTCTATTTCCCCTCAGTGGAAAGGAAAGGTATGGATTCAGGACAGGGAGCGGAACAAATTCTTTAGAGAAAATAATTGAGCCTTCAATCTTTGACTACCCTGTCAAGAAGATAAAAGATCTTTGCTAACTAATTTTAATAAATGCTACCCTCACTCATTTTTAGGTTATCAGTTAAAATCCCTACAGCTGTCCAAAAGCCGTGACTTAGTGTGTGTGTGTAAGTAATCCACGGTGCGGAACAAGAATCTTTAGTAAATGGATTCTTCTGCGCTCTCCAAGTTGCTAAATAAATAACTGCTGGCCTGTTGCCACTGAGCAGTAATCTTAATCAGCTTTGCGTCTAGCAGATGGCACTTGAGACCATGAGAGATAATAAAGACTAAACACTGGGTGTCGCAATACCTTCCAGCAAGTGCTGGTAAAAGCTTAATTGCTTCTCCGCGGAGCAGGAAGGACTGGAGAATAAGATGATGACAAATGTCATCTGCACTTTCATTTCTTTGTATTTGAAATGCTTTTATAATTAGTTAGCCATAAGCTTTACAGCTAGATAAACTCACGGGCTTTGCAAAAGGATGCTTTTTAGAGAATGCAATAAAGACTAGTGGGAAATATTAATCTGTCTACAGAAGACAAAGGACTGAACACGCAGCCTCCAACATGGTCATGGCGTCTTTAAAGCATGTGAGCTTTTGTGGAAAGGCAGGCCTTAGCCGTGTTCCTGGAATAGAAGTGGTGCTGTGAATTACTATTCCACGGGATGGTCAGGGAAGGGGCCAGCCTGTGGGCCTGTGCTTGACTGCGGGGCTTCTGCAAGAGCCCCTGGGTGGGGCACTGTGCTCTGTTAAATGAAAACATACCCAGGCAGCCACATATGGTCTGGTATGAAGAAGAATGTCAAGCTGTGTCAAGACTAGAAAGAAAGGGCAAGTACAGTTGTGAGGCTGAAGGTGGTGGGAGCAAGCTTCGCTGGTTGGTGCCAGCACTAGGCCCATGTGTGCAACGGCTGCTGTGAGGGAGTCCTTCTCAACCCCCACAAGTGTGTGCGAGTGAAGAGCCTGACTCTCAAGGGCAGGAAGAGAAGAGGTGCTCTAGGGAAGCAGCAAGCCCAGCCCCAGGGAGATCAAATTGCCTGGTGTCTGTGTGGCAGCCCAGGGCTCCCAGACACCTCCTGCTTCAGGAGCTGGACAGGCCTTGGGAAGATGTGTGGGGAAAGGCACTGACAGATGCACCAGCTCCAGGGAGAAATCCCCTTCACCTCAGAGACACTCCCCAGTGATCCTCTGAGAGTATTCTCCACAGTCCTCACTTCTTACACTTTCTGAGCCAGCTAAGCTCCTAATTCGTGCCATGAATGACCAGGAACCTCCCTTGATTTTCTAGTGAGTTCTGGAAGTCTCTCCTTTGCTACGGCCCACGTTGAAAAAGAATATGGCAAGAGGGCTGGGACTGGTCATTGTGACTGGATGAAGAGGTGACTAGTAGATTAGAAAAGCACGCCTCCAGTTGTGTCTTCGGTGCTGTTTCCAGAAGACTGACATGTAAACTGAGGGGCAAAGACCTGTCCTCACTGTGGACGGCACCAACCAAGGGGCCTACGGGCACGGGTGGAAGGAAAGAAGGAAGAAGGCAGCCTGTGTCTGAAAAGCTCCCCTCTGCCTGGGCAAGTTTGTTGTCTGCTGCTCCACTAACTGTGGATACCAGACTCCAGCTTCTTCAGCTTTCAACACAGACTCACACTAGTGATCTCTAGGAGCTTCCAGGCCTTCGACCTTGGACAAGGACTGTAATCTTGACCTCTCTTGTTCCCCAGCTTCCACCTCGTTGAACCGAGTGGGATCCTGTGGCTTTCCAGGGTGCAGAGCCCATTGTAAACAACCCCACCTCTGATCCTGTAAGCCTGTCTGGTCATTTTCTAAATTGATTCTGTTTGGAGAACCCTAACAAGGGGTACAAGTGGTAGGAGTTGCTTCTTGGGGAAGAAGACTTCCATAAAACGAAACAATAGGTACTTCTTTGAGAGACAGGTGCTACAAGATTGAATGCTCCCTGCTTCTAACATTTTTATTTCTTGCTTGGAGTGTAAGCCTCACCATCCTAAAGAACCTTTTACAGAAAGCCACTGTGGAAAGATTGAGCTGCTGCCGTCCCCTCCCAGCAACATGACAGCTGTGACAGCTGGCTGACCCTTTGAAAGACACAGGGAGAACCTGGCCCTGAGGAAATGATACACAAAGGACAGAGAGCATGGTCCCCACCACCTCTGGAGGACCAATAGCGTCACGCAAGCACTTGGGGGGGGGGTGCTGAAGAAAAAGTGTGGAACTGGGCCAGACGTGAATACTAAAGACTTTTTTTGTCCTAGACCTGCTCCAGTTGCCTGCTTGGTGTGCACACAGGCACGGGGTGGGGGGGCATCATCCTAATGCCAACACTGACCTTTACATTTATTGTGATAATGACACCCCGGAACATCTAGCACAGAGCCTATGCAGTTTTCATTTTTGCCAGTGAAGGCCTAACTCAGGCATTCTTCCCAAAGCAAATGTATCACCACATTACATGCTCATGGAAGACTTCATGGCACGTGGGCTATTTCATGTAGCAAAAGAAAGTTCAGCATATGCTGAAGTGACGAAAGATGGGAAAAGGGGAAAGCAGGGTGAATATGAAAGAATTAAAAAAATAAACCCTTAAAATGAAAAGCTGACTTCAGCATACTGACGTGATATGATACCAGCACAGCTGATAGATCTGCCATTGTTTTCATACGGACCTGGGAGAATTTACAGTAGAACACAAAAGTGCAGGAAGCACTCTCGATGCTCATCTTACCTAGGAACGCTGCCATGTTCATGACCTGACTGAACACACAGCTGGCAGGAGGATCGTCACCTGCAATGCTTGAAAAGGTGAAAGGTTTTATAATTATTACGTGACAATCTGGGAGCCTTTCCTAAGGCCCAACGGGGCAGGCATGAACTATCGGGTTACCTTATATAAGGCGCACGCTTCACACCGGGCTTCCTGGAGAATGAAAAACACAGGAGTGCAGGTTAACATGTGAGCACGCGGGCAGTTTAACCTCACCAGTGACAACATTTTTGCTAAATCTATGGGTGCACAATGAATTCCCCAGAGATCAACTTTACCTTTCAGCTGAATTTAATGGTAAAATTTTGTCATCTTCCACAGCTATAAAGTATCTGTCAAGAAATGACAATAAGTTTATAAGACAAAGCAATTTAACAAAAAAAAAAAAAAAAAAAAAAAAAAAAAAAAACAACTACAAGAAGAAATTGCTTCCCGGTTCAAAAGCCTAACTGCACTAAATCATATTCATTCCTTTCTGAGAAAATACTCTAATTCTTTACTTATATAATAGGGCCAGCCAGATAGCTCAGTGGACTAAAGCACCTGCTTAGGCAGATGCAGGGACCAGGGTTTGATCCCTGGTGTGCTGTGCTGGCCCTGCCCCTGGGGCATGCTGAAATGGCAATTGAGATTGGGTGTGTGGCACACACCTCTAATCCCAGTGCTTGGGAGCCTGAAAACAGGAGGATGGCTATGAGTTTGATCTGTGCAGTGAGACCCTGTAAACCCTATACTAAATACATGAAAATAATAATAATAATTCTTTACTTAAAGAGCAACTAGTTTTTGAAGCTCAAATGTCACTATTAATATTTCCTTAACTTTCAGAACACCACTAAAATTAATGGCAATGATTATAATCCAGAAATTGGAAAGCAAAGAAATAAAACCTTACAATTTTGAACAAACTAAAATTATAATTCAGAGCTTCTAACTTTTCAGGAATATATGTCCACCTTTTTTTTTTTTTTTTTTTTTTTTGCGGAACTGGAGATTGAACTCAGGACCTATTTTAAATCTCCTTTTTCTTTGGTACTGAGGATCAAACTCAGGACCTAGTCTTTGCCAGGCGGGCACTTCCTCTGGTGAGCTCTCCCCCTAGTCCGTGTCCACCATTCTTAATGAACTTCAAGGGAGTAAAATAATTTCCTTCAAGTAAGTATTATGTGAAGTAAGCAAACATGTGAACATTTTTTTGCGGTGAGCCAGGACTACCAATATAATGATTTTCACTTTAAAAATATATCAGATCCTGCCACAAAGCACTGCACTCTGTGAGCTGGAGTGGGAACAGAATACACATTGGGTCTGCGTTAGATAAAAAATAGCTTGCAAATAACTAATCATCTAACCATCTGAGAGAATGCTCATTACAAGAACAGGTGAACATAACATAAAGCCAGTATTCTTCACTACCTGCTTGCTTAATTGTTAATCTTGCTATTTGCTTTGATGATAAAAGACAGGAATTGAAGTGGGTACGTCAGGAAGGTTGAATTAGTAGATATTTTAAAATATTTATAAATACATTCATGTAATCATGCTATATAAATGCTATCAAAACTACTGTCTGCGCTGCACTGAACTGTGAATTGTTCACGAAGCGCGTACTCACACTATCCACAGCCCAGCTGAAGTGAACAAAGTGAAGACAAGAGGCAGAAACATCCAGACGCTGCATTTCTTCCCATCCATGCCTGCACCGCTGAAACGAAAGGAACAGCCATGAACAATGAAGGCCAACATCTCCCCAAGTCTTTCAAGATGGGGAGGGAGGATGTCTTAACCGTGGGGGAAAGGGATATTATTCTATGAAAGGATGATTCAGACCAGCGTCACCACGCCACCTGCTCAGGTGGGAAATCCCCTGGACAGTTCAGGGATTGTTATCCAGCTTTCATTGAAAGATTCTAATCTTAGCTGTGAGCCAATGGGAAATTTTTCATAAAAACTTTAGGCCTTAAACAAAACAAATAAAACCTTTAGGCCTTGTAAGTGTGTCGATACATTTAAGAAAGAACAGTGGCGCTTGGGGAGGACTTTCAGGAGAGGAGCTGGCTAGCAACGTCTGCCCCAACCTAGAGCCATTCTTTCTTTTTTTTCCCCATAATTTTATTGAGAAACAAATAGCAATGAGACAGTTTCAAACCAAATTGGTAGGCCAGTTTCCATAATTAACACATTGCATACATTCTTCCTAGTGGTTAACACTGCTATACAAGATGTGGACATGATATCCTATTTACAAACACCATTAGAACAAATCCCTCTATTCATCAAGAGAATGTAACTATATATCTATCCTAACCATTTTGAATACACAGATACAAAATGGACATTCATCTGTATCCCCTTTTCTTGATTAGTTCCATTATTTGAATATTATAGGTGTGTTAACTCAGCAAAATATTCTAAAAGAGTCCAGTAGTCCATAATAGTATTGGGTCTTCTGCTTCACTGGCAATATCAGAAATTGTTGACCTGAGTGCCCTACAGCTCAACATAACACCATGGCTTTACTTCTTATACTTCAGTTTTATACTTTTCTGCTGGACTAGAGCCATTCTAAACATCCATGGCTCTGCAGATAGGACACGCACCTGAGTCAACAGGCCGGCAGAAGGCATGTCAGAAAAAAGTGGTCGCTCAGTAAATTAGCAACGCGGAGGGGAATGACAAACGCTTGACACACTGCAACTCTGCAACTCTGAGCAGCTAGCTATTGCAATAGAATCTAAAGATGAATGTTTTGGGAAACAAAGCATTGGGCCAGGGAGATGGCTCAGTGGAATAAGCGCAACTCTGAGCAGCTAGCTATTGCAATAGAATCTAAAGATGAATGTTTTGGGAAACAAAGCATTGGGCCAGGGAGATGGCTCAGTGGAATAAGCGCAACTCTGAGCAGCTAGCTATTGCAATAGAATCTAAAGATGAATGTTTTGGGAAACAAAGCATTGGGCCAGGGAGATGGCTCAGTGGAATAAGCACTTCCCTGGCAAGCGCAAGGGCCTGAGTTCAATCCCCAGTTCCACAAAAACAAACAAACAAACAAAAACCTACCAAATGTAAGGGGTATGTGCTGGGGAGATGGCTTAGTGGAAACAAAGTGTTAAATGAGCTCTAGTACACACACTGGAAAAAACAGAAACAGGCATTTTGCTTATGTCTTTTGTTGTTCGTGGTGGTGGCAGTGGGGACTGCACCCACTACCTTCACACTGAGCTACATCCCCAAAATTTTATTTAATTTTTTTTCAAGCATAACAGGAATCTTTAAAGAATTCTACTCAGTCTTCCCCACCCCCCACCACCGGTACTGGGGATTGAACTCAGGACCTTGACGCTTGCCAGGCAAGTGCTTATTCTACTGAGCTCTCTCCCCAGCCCAGTCAGTTTGTTTACATATTTTTCATGTATGCAACACTAGTGGTACTGTACTTAATTAAAAGAATTATGGGACAAAATTGGCTTGCATATTTAATCTTTTTGTATTTTTAAAGAATTTAAAGTAACTTTGTTTAACCTGCACTTATTTTTTTGTCCACCTTCCAGCTGTATGTGCAGTGGCGCACTGGCTCTCATGGTCACATGTTCATTTCTGAGCTGCTCCCTTGGTCTGGGTCCATCTTTTCTTTAATTTTAATTTTTAATCCATTTTGTGCAGCGTTTTGCTATGCAGCTCAGACTCGTAGTGATCCTCCTGTTTTCAGCCTCTTCAGTGCTGGGATTACAGGCGTGGCCACCACGCCCAGACTTAGTGGCTGGCTCAGTGCGCCTGGGGGAGGGCCGGCCTGGCATGTGGTACTGGGAATCGAACCCTGCTCCCTAAGCTTGCCTAAGCAGATGCCTAGTCTGCTGAGCTATCTCACAGGCCCTTGGCTCCATCTTCTTGATCTGTCCAGCCTGGCCATTATTGGTAATGTAACTGTGGCAAACCTATTTCTCTTGTATCCGGATTTGCCAATGTAAGGGCTCTCGTCAGGGACTTTGTCAACTTCAGTATCCTCGTGGATAATAATATAGTGGCTCAAACTTAGCGTTGATTTTGTAAAAAGCCAGTTCCTGTTTCGGCTCCTGTTTCTGATATGCTCGTGTTAGTTCCATGTTCTTCTGTTTCAGTGACTCATTTTCTGTGTTTAGGTCACATTCCAGCTCTCACTGCTCTGTTTCTGTCACGTGGTCTCCTCTTTTAATGATTTGTTTATCTTGATTTTTAATTTCCTCAAGGAAACTTTTCTGTTCTTAAGCTCCTATGTTTCTACCATCTTCCTTTGGGACACTTTCCAGTCTTTCTACCTCTTCTAAACCGAATCTCTCAAAGCCTCCTGGGATCCAGAGCAGTTACTGGCTGACCTTCCAAACTTCCGAGTGACTGGAGGTGGAAAATTATAAACCGGAGGTAATGAGGAAGGTCAGGGTTGGATTTTTATGTAGGACTGGAGAAGTCAAATTTTGAAGTTGTTTCAATTTTCTTACATCCTGCAGCGAAGATATTTTGTTGCCTTTTAGATTGAGGACTCCCCAAAATTTCAATTTCTTTCCTAGCTATGTGGGAAGAGTATCATCAATTTCATTTCCTGAAAGTTTTTGCAGATTACAGAGATTTTTCTAAGCCTTCAGTTTTGCTGATTTTCTTGTATGGTTGAGTTCTTGTAATTTTAATAGCTTGTCCATCTTCTTTTTGTCCATCTTCTCTATCTTTTCTATTAAGTTACAGCTGAGATTCAGCACTTCAAACTTAATACATTTTCTCAAATTCTTGATATACCTGAATTTCTTGCCTCCATCTTTAGATAGTGAAAGGTTCGGTCATTTTACCAAGGCCAATTTGGCCTATTCAGTGAGTTTTTAATGAGGGCCTCTGTAATACATCGGGTTCCTCCATGTGCGTCAGGTACTCTCTGTCTCGACAGCCCCAAAGCACGTTGTTGTACCATAGGTTTCCTCACCGCTGTCCTTCAGGATGCAGGAGAGAATCCCAGATCCATTTAAAGGTCAAAGTGACCTGGGTTCCATATTGAATGTGAGATGTGAGGTGATGGGCTAGGAGTGCGAGATGACAGTGACATGGTTTTTTTGGAGAACATTTTTTTTTAAATTTAATTTTGAAAAGTAAAAGCAAAACAAGAAAATCAGAAACAAAGGAACAAGGCAACATACAAGAGTATATATATTACAGATTTTCAAACCAAGAAAGCTGATTAACAATGATTGATGTATTATCTATTTTATCATCAAATCTGTTGCTCAGATTAGCAGATACAGTTATGTAAGATCTGAAATATGGTTAGATATTACCACTTGCTTTCAAGAAACCTTAGGAGCCAGGGAGATGGCTCAGAAGAATACGCGCCTGCCTGGCAAGCGCAAGGGCCTGAGTTTAATCCCCAGTTCTGTAAAAAAAAAAAAAAATCAAGAAATCTTAAATTTTTGTCCCTTTTAAAAAAATTTAACCCTTTAATTGTAAGAATAGAGCCAGGTGAGCTTCAAACCTACCTAAGACCCAAGCCAAACAGCCTCACGGGGTCAGGCAGGCAGAAGCACAAGTCTTCCCCTCAGGAACAGTATCCTCAGGCCATCATGGCTTTTTTGCTCTCAGAAATTGAATTCAGGACCTTGTGCTAGCTAGGCAGGCACTTGTGTTGCTGAGCTATATCCCTGGCCATGTCTTTTATTTTATTTTGAGATACTGCCTCACTAAGTTGCTAAACTGTCCAGGACGAGCTTGAATCTGCAAACCTCCAGCCTCAACCACCCGAATATCATTATATTTTTAAAACAAAAAATATGTGAATTAGAAATTCTCCCCAATGAAGTGAAAGCTAGGGGCTTCAGATATTATCTATGAAGAATTACTGGTATCAAACAGAAAGAAATAATTATCACTTTTACATCTCACCCCTGCCTAAAAACATCAGACAAATCCATTCGATACACTGGATGCCAGCATAATCCTCAGGGCAAACTACAAGGTCTAAGAACTAAGGTATCCAAGTGACTTCCCAGGGAGGCCACCTGACAAGCAGAACCACAGAGCAGTGAAATGGCGCTTCTAGGGGGACTTTGATGCTCTCTGTTTTGAATTTTACAACTAGCTGCAACAGATTAATTTATTGGCTCTGAGCCAACACTGCCACGTTTTGGAGACTGCAGAGCAGCAGAACACAGCGTGGAGCTCTTTTGGGCATGGCTTCCACTTTTGGTAACCCATCAGTGTCTCATTTGCCACACTTGGGTTTCTTCCTTCCTTCCTAGTGAGCCTGGGTTAGCTAGAGGAGACTCATATGTATTTCTTTCTGGTCTCAGAGAATCTGCATCCACACCCAGCTTATTATGTGACCAAAGATCTTGCAGCTGCTAGTGCTGGAGGTTTGTGGAGGTGCCAGGAGATGAACCGGACCGACTCAGCTGCCCTGGCTTGGCAACATCAGATAGTGCACTTGACCGGAAGTACCTCTGTGAAGAACAAGGAGTCAGGTCTGTTAACTAACTCCTTTGTTTTTGCCTCACTGTTGCCTGTGAATTAAAGTTAAAACTATTAAGGCTGTGGAGATAGCTCAGCAGTCTAAGTGTCTGCCTAGGCAAGCACAAGGACCCCAGGTGCGCCGAGCCGGCCTCCAAGACCAGGCGTGGTGGCGAACGCCTGCAATCCCAGTGCCAGGGAGGCTGAAAACATGAGGATAACTGGAGTCCAAGCTGTGCCGTG